CTTTCTCATGATCATCCTTACCCCATGAGGCAAGATCTTGCACGGAGCTCCAGACCGAGGCCGATTGATGGTTGTTTTGTATTTCTTCCATTTCCGAATAATTGCACCAACAGTTGTCTCCTTCTCACCAAGCTTCTTGCTGATGGTCTTGTAGCCCATTCCAGCCTTGTGCAGATCTACAATCTTGCCTCTGACATCCTTTGACAGCTCTTTGGTCTTGCCCATGAAGGTGGGAGAGGTTGGAATGGAAGATACAGATTGTGTGGACAGGTGTCTTACACACCTAATGAGCTGACATTAGGAGCAACTTCTTAAAGTGACAGGACTAATCTGTGTTCCACATGGGCACATAACCAATCTGTGGGAGCCAGAATTCTTGCTGGTTGGTAGGGGATCAAATACTTATTTCACTCAATGAAATTTTTTGTCCACTGAATTTTTTACCTTTATATAATGTGTTTTTTTCTGGATTTTTTGGTTGATATTCTGTCTCTATCTGCTAAAATAAACCTACCATAAAAGTTACAGACCCTTCATTTCTTTGTAAGTGGGCAAACTTACAAAATAAGCAGGGGATCAAATAAATATTTTCCCCCCTGTACATTTCAGTAGTGAATGAAATGTATGTTTATTTATAATCAATAGTAAGCTACTTATGCATTGTCTGCCAATTTGTATTCATGTTTTCACTGAGCTTAAGGGCATATGATAATTTGGCCAAAGTTGGATATCTTATGAGGCCGAATAGCTAAAATACGTAACTTTTGGAACACAATATGTTTCGAGAACACACTTGTGATGCTTGAAAATGTTGTGTTTGCAAAAGAAATGTACAAATGCTAGTAGTAGCGCAGAGTCTCATAGCAGCTGCGCAGTTTCGTGATGAAAGCTAGCTTTAAAGCGTACAGATTTATATGTGTCTGCTGTTCGCTCAACCGCAGGGGTGCCAGATCAGAGATGGATCGAGTGACGTGACGGCGACTGAGACTCCAACGCTCCCCCCATCTGTCAGGCAGTCCGTCCTCCTCCCGAGAGCTGAGACGAGATGACAGATTGAGGGTGAACGCAAGGACTGGCTGGTACAGTAGGCAAGTGGTGCGCAGTCACATGCTGTTTTAAGGAGAAGTCTTCAGCTCAAAGCTCCCACTCTCTCCCGAAGAACTGTGAATACAATTTCTCAGAACATAAGAGGAAGCCATCTGCAGAAAAATAAAAGCAACAGACAAGAACATCGGAGTTCAAATTGGTATTCAAATGAGGAAGATTACTAGCACACACCACGCACGCAATTTCCAACTACTCTATTAAAAATCCCTGCCAGTGAGTGGGGTCATCTTGGAAATAGTATGTGGGTGACTTCCCTCTGGGTCTCTTCAATCTGCATTGCCAAACACAATTATAAAACATCTTTTTTCATATTTCACAATTATAAAACATATATATTATATTCCATCGTGTGTTTTTAGTTTTAGAATGCACATGGATCCATGGATTTATATTTATACTCTAAAAAATGCTGGGTTAAATACAACCCAGTGCTGGGTAAAATAGGGACAAACCCAGCAGTCAGGTCGGAAACCAAATTGAAAATATGGGACTCAAAATCTAATTAAAACATAGTTTTAAGATTCATGGCATAAAAGGTCAAATGAAAAAGAAATACTTAAGAAATGCTTTGCATTTTTTCTAGGTGAAGGCAAATTTGAAAGATTTTTGGTTCAAATTATGTATTTTGAATATATCAAACAATGTATGGATGTATAAGCGTGCTTTGACATTTTAAATAACCTTTTAGGCTTTAAGTTCACTTATTAGTCATGCAAATGAAGTAAAAACATTAAATTTAGTGTCTAAATGTAAAGTGTGTGTGGTCCATATAAGCTACGAATGCCCTGCATACCCAAGCCATTCGAGAGAGTGCTTATTAATATTAACATAAATATACATTTCCTTTTCACCTGAGGTGCATAAAGCTTAACATAAAGCTTGTTTACAGAATAAAATGCTGGAAATACGTCGTTGTTACGTCACTGCCAAACAGTAGTTTTCGGAAATCGACTCCAGTTATGGATGAATTTGTGCCAGCAGATCCACAATTTTTTTTGTCTATTGCCCCATAACACCCGATGTACTGGATGTAATCAAGTCTGTATCCAGTCCAGATGGTGGATCAGCACCTAGAGACGACCTCTACTGCCCTGAATGTCAACAGAGACCATGTCAATTAGACGAACCCTAGAGAAAGACCACGAGAACCAGACGAGTCCTCTGCTCAATCTGATGTGTGTTGCAGCCTGGTATTAAACCACACCATGCTGGTTTCGTCTGGCCAGAGGAGAACTGGCCCCCCCAACTGAGCCTGGTTTCTCCCGAGGTTTTTTTTTTTTTCTCCATTTCTGTCACCAGTGGAGTTTAGGTTCCTTGCCACTTGTCACCTTTGGCTTGCTTAGTTGGAGACACAATTTCTGGCTATATTGCCCACTTGACTGCACAGACACTATTTGAAGAGAACTGAACTGATCTGGACGATGACATCACTGAATCAACAATGAACTGACTTTAACTAATAAACTGTTTTCTATTGTGCTCTTGCATTATCAGCACATGTTTTTCCTGTTTAACACTGTAAAGCTGCTTTGACACAATCTGTATTGTATAAAGCACTATATAAATAAAGGTGACTTGACTTGATTTGTCATTATTGTAGTGCGTTCTCATTGGTTGGTTGTCATGTGGGCAAATTCATGCTCTAGAAAAGCTGCACCTGAATTGTTCGCGTAAACGAAAAAATTACCTAAATGCCGTTGATTTAAGTCAACTAAATCAGACTAAGACAACAACAACACATAACTCTGTATTTTCATGTTTTGTGAAACATTTAGTGTAAATCCACAGATACCATTCCCCCACAATTTTGACATAGGCTACACGAAGTACATATTATCTGGCAACATGGGTTAAACGTAGCTAAAGCAATCATTACGAAAGAAGGATTGGAGAATGAATTTCATCAACAAATAAGGTAGGGAAATGGGTATACATTTAAATCTATAGTTTGTCTCGGATTTTAGTCTGTGACTCTGAGTTTGTCCTAAACTGCTGCCCTACCTCTATACAATTTACAGCCAGCCAGCCAGCCAGACAGACAGACAGACAGACAGACAGACAGACAGACAGACAGACAGACAGACAGACAGACAGATAGATAGACAGATAGATAGATAGATAGTTTTTTGAATAGTGAAGCACTTTTAGATGAAGTATAGCAAATGTCGCACTGCAGGATACACCGCTTAAAATGTCAACAACCCATCTGTTAAATTAATACATCTACTTATCTATTTATCCTTTTTCCATGCTATTTATGATAAATGAATTATGGCTGTTTACGTCTGTGGTGT